TGTTTAAGCCTCCATTCATTCATCCATCCATTCATGCATTTATTCATTCATCCAATAAATCATCCACCCATTCAATAAAACATGATTACCTGCTCATAGAAACCTTAGAAATCCAAAACTAGGAACAATTCAATACATTATTGCATATAGATCTGATGAATTGTTATATAACTGCTAAAGACTATTTTTCAAAGATTAATAATGAGGAAAAAAATTTTTAATGTATAAATGAAGGAAGCAAGATGTTTCCTGATGTTTGATGAGATCTCCATTTATTGTTTAAATGGACACACTCACTTACTGTACCGTGATGAGCCTTGAATACCTTATGTTCACTGAAAGAAGTCAGCCACAAAAGCCTGCAGAGTGTATGATACTATTTTTATGAAATGTCCAGAATAGGCAAATCTATAGAGACAGAAAGTAGATTAGTGGTTACCTAGGGCTGGCTGGGGGGCAGGGAGGGGTGATGGCTAATGGGACTGCTAATGGGAGATCCTTTTGGGAGTGATGAATATATTCTGAAATTGAATACCAGTGGCGGCTGCACAACTCTGGGAATACACCAAAGGCCACTGAATTGTACACTTTGAAAGAGTGAATTTTATGACGTGTGAAATATATTTCAATAAACCTGTTATTAACAAATGGACACCTATTCAAGTGAAGAAAGAGTGGAAAGAAATACAACAAAACACTGGATGGTAGTTTTTGGGGGAGAGTTACAAATTTGGGGAGAATAACTCCCAAGGGGGCTGGGAGTTACTCTTCCTCTAACAGGGAGGCTGCAAGATCACATAATGGGGGTAGAGACGTACCAGGAGAAGTGAAGAACTGAAGCCAGTAATTTTACCTACAAGGAAGACAAAACTGAATGGAAGGAATCGAATGGCTGATGCAGAGCATCCCTGGTGTTCATGGGGAATATCTGGGGAAACAGGGTTCATCCAGGTGTCCCACGAATGCTATCACACAGGGAACATCTACTCAAGTCTACTGGGCTAGGTGCTTCTGCAGAGGCTCCTCCAGCCTGGGGCTCATCTCCTCTAGGCTTCTCAGCTCCCAACCTTCCTACAGGATCCTGGACACCAACCTGGTGAAAGGGATGAATTTCATCAGTGTCGGAGGAGAGTGGGAGTGAGTGAGGGGTTCACTATTTCCTCTTCCTTCCCTGGAGCCAACCAGCTCCCATCCCGGGCAGGGAGGCGACTTCTAAACACTGACTATTTCAGCAGAGGCTTGATCTCAGGGTTGGTTGTGCAGGTGGCAACAGGGACAGACCCTGGGCGATCAGAACCTGGGCTCCCAGGAGATGCAGCTGTTTACGTCTTTGGACCAACCCGTTGGCTTTCTTGGAATCCTCCTCAGCTTCTCCTTGAGGAGAACTAGAGAAGCAGAGTTAGGAGGAGTTACTCAGACCCCAATAGAAAGATCCCAACCATGTTATGAATTTAGGAAACATAACACTCGGGAGGCATCCAGAGAAACAATAATGAGCTTCATTGAATGAGGGGGGCTTGGTTGTTACTGTCACCAAATAGTTCTGCTTCTTCTGAATGCAGAAGAATTCTTGCTCCTTGGAGTTAGGGATGATGTGACTTGCTTTGACCAACGAAATGTGAGCATCCATGGAATGTACCAATTTGGGCAGAGACTTTGAAACACAGGGAGTGATTCACCAGATCTCCATTCCACGGCCATGGTCCTCACAGGAGCAGGCGTTGAAAGGGAGTTCCCATGTACCTGAGTCTCAGAGTGGCTACCATGATCAGAGCTCTCCTGACACTAGTCCTGTCCGACTCTTTGTGATGCTATGGACTGTAGCCCTCCAGGCTACTCTGTCCATGGAATTCTCCAGACAAGAATACTGGAGTGGGTTGCCCTGCCCTCCTCCAGGGGATCTTCCCAACCCAGGGATTGAACCCTTGTCTCTTATGTCTCTTGCATTGACAGATGAGTTCTTTACCACTAGCACCACCTGCAAAGCCCACAGCATACTGTGACCCTTTCCAATTGAGGTGGATTGATTCTGTCCACCTCAACCAACAAAGAAATGTATCAAAATAAAGAATTTGAGGATGACAAGGCTATGATTTTTTAAATGATGATACTAACAAAGATTGATGATAAGCTCTTAAATATAAAACTAAGACTAAATAATTATAGGGGTTATGCTTATGGGAAGAATGTATATGCATTCTAAACCTTGAGAAATTAAAAGGACCTGGAGACTGTCGTAGAGAGTGAAGTCAGAAAGAGAAAAACAAATATCTTAACACATAAATGTGAAGCCTAGAAAATGGTACAGATGAACCTATTTGCCAAGCAGATATAGATATAGACATAGAGAACAAACCCAGACACCAAGGGGAGAAAGGAAGGTGAGATGAGTTGGGAGACTAAGATTGACACAAATATAAACAATGTATAAAATAGAACGAGAGCCTACTGTGTAACACAGGAAACTGCTTGGTGCTCTGTGGTGACCTGATGGAAAGGAAATTCATAAAAGGGAGGATATTTGTAAACATATAGCTGATTTACTTTGGTGTACAATAGAAACTAACACATTGTATTGTAAAGGAACTATACCACAATTAAAAAAAATTTTTTTAAAGCAAGAATAAAACCAATTTTAAAATGAGAGGGAAGAAGTGAAAGTGTTGATTTCCTTTTTCCTCCCCCCCCCAACCCAGTTGGAGTTTATACTGTCTAATATTGACAAACAGAGTTTAAAATAAACCTAAGGATGCTAACCTCTCTCTTACTGTTTGCCTCACATTATTCTTTAAACTCAGAAGAAATGAACTGATAAATGACTACATCTAATGATAAAGAAGAAATTCAGTGAAGTTCAGCAATTTTTTCAGCTCTGTTCCACCTTTTTTCTTCTGTTAAAATTAAGTCTTAACACGGTTGTCTTAGTTTGGGTTCTTCTGGAAGCAGACTCAAATAAATTTGAGTATTTCAGTGCGTGCGTGTGTGTGTGTGTGTGTGTGTGTGTGTGTGTGTGTGTGTGTGTGTCGGGGTGGAGGGGGAGTTTCAGGAAACCCTGGCAGGGGATTGGAAAAGCAGGATATGGGCGCGGGGGAGGAAGTGGGGCTAGGTGTTAAAGAGAGGCGGCTGCTCTTTGTGGGGAAACTGGCTTAGCCCCACTGGGGAACTGGGGCAACCACCTCAGTGCTGCCCCACCCACGGGGAGAGGACCTGGGGAGTTCGACCGTCAACTTCCATCAGGACCAAGGGCTCCCCTGGTGCTACCTTCCCGGCATTTCTTCTCTCCCTGGTGCGTGGGCTGACCCACTCCTGCAGCCAGAGACCCCCTCAGGCCAAGAACATTTGGGTGCTTTTAAGGGAAGTTCGGGACTCTACCAAGACAGTGAATGTCCACAGGATATGGCTGGACACCAACAGCAGCTGCCAAGTTTCTTAAGTTGAAGAAACCTGTATCATGGATCCACCCCCACTGAATTATGCCAAGTGAAGCCATCTCAGAAAGCTACGTATTGTGCGATTCCATTTATACGGTTTTCTGGAAAGGTCAAAACTCTGAGGACAGAAAAGAGATCCTTGGTTGCCAAGGGCTGGGGAGGGGTGAGGGGTGATTAAAGGGAACTCTCTGGGGGTGGATAAAGATGTGGTGGTCCAGGACAGCACATTTGTCAACGTTCATAGGACTACACACCTGAGAAGGACGAGTTAAACCGTATGCAAACTGTATCTCGAAAACCTGTCTGTGATGCTCTTAAAAATGTTTGCATACTTGACATCTGGTCCTATCACTTCATGGCAAATAGATGGGGAAACAGTGGAAACAATGGCTGACTTTATTTTTGGGGGGGGGGCTCCAAAATCACTGCAGATGGTGATTGCAGCCATGAAATTAAAAGATGCTTACTCCTTGGAAGAAAAGTTATGACCAACCTAGATAGCATATTAAAAAGCAGAGACATTACTTTGCCAACAAAGGTCCGTCTAGTCAAAGCTATGGTTTTTCCAATAGTCATGTATGGATGTAAAAGTTGGACTGTGAAGAAAGCTGAGCGCTGAAGAATTGATGCTTTTGAACTGTGGTGTTGGAGAAGACTCTTGAGAGTCCCTTGGACTGCAAGGAGATCCAACCAGTCCACCCTAAAGGAGATCAGCCCTGGGTGTTCACTGGATGGACTGATATTGAAGCTGAAACTCTAATACTTTGGCCACTTGATGTGAAGAGCTGACTCATTTGAAAAGACCCTAATGCTGGGAAAGATTGAGGGTTGGAGGAGAAGGGGATGACAGAGGATGAGATGGTTGGATGGCATCACCGACTCAATGGACATGGGTTTGGGTGGACTCCGGGAGTTGGTGATGGACCGGGAGGCCTGGCATGCTGTGGTTCATGGGGTCACAGAGAGTCAGACATGAATGAGTGACTGAACTGAACTATTTACTATTTCAAGAAAAGTTTAATTCTCCCTTGAGGACGTAGGGACTTGGTTCTAAAAACAAATCAAGACAGAAGTGAGGTTGTGTGAGTGAGAGTTGAGGTCATGAAAGACGGTGGCCTCCTGCCCTCTTATTCCTTCCTGGGTCACCTGCTCTGGGTGACCCTAGAAGCCAGGTCATCGAAGCCTGAGAGAGGCCCCCCTTGGAGAGCTGCCGAGGTCTCAGGCCACCAGCTACATGAGAAGCCATGTGGGTTCTCCAGCCCAGGCCAACCTGCTCCCTGGCCCACAGTCTGTAATCTCACAGGGGACCCTGAGATAGACCCACCCAGCCAAGCAACTTTCAGTTCCCAACCCTCAGAAATTGAGTGAGATAAACTGATTGTTCCTGTTAAGTGGCTACATTTTGGGTCCCTTTGTTCTGCAGCAGTTGATAACTACTACACTGACTTAAAATTGAATTCCCATTTTAAAATAAAATTATCCATTCCTGGAGATAAACATATGCTAAGAGACAGCTGGCATGATATCGGCCTAAGGTGAATGTTTCTGGGCGGAATCTGGAGGTCACGGTGCTTGTGTTTGTCCTCTTTTATTTTCTTGAGCTGCTTTTTATAACAAACCTGTGTCAATAAAGGGGAAAAGAGAAAAAATGACTTGGAGCCCAGGGTCGATGTAGAGGCATTGTTTAACAGGAGGCGGCTCGTGGCCAGGCTGGGTCTACAGGAAGCAGGCGCACCATTCCTTCAGGCAGCTGGAACACTCCCGGGCCTCAAACTCGGTGGCTCCGCAGCAGCAAATGAGCCACTTCTGAAACTCGGCTTCCCTCTTGTGCATCAGGAGGAACTGTCCCAACAGGACATAAGCCTGTGGGGAGGACATGGGAAAGTACTCAGCTAAGCTCTCCCGCCCCCAGTGCGAGGACACCCGAGGAAACCAAGGAGCGGACCCGGGTCAGATCCAAGGGGCAGTGGCCGTCCCTGAAATCTAGGTCACGGGGACTCTATCCTGACCAGAGCCTGGGCCTGGGTGAGAGGTGTCTGCATGCGTACTCAGTCACGTCCGACTCTCTGTGACCCTCTGGACTATTGCCCGCCAGGCTCCTCTGTCCAAGGGACTCTCCAGGCAAGAATACTGGAGCAGGTTGCCATTTCCTCCTCCAGAGGATCTTTCGGACCCAGGCATTGACCCACGTCTCTTACGTCTCCTGCATTGGCAGGTGGGTTCTTACCGCTAGACCCACCTGGGTAGCCCCAGGGAGACCAGTGGAGAAACGCAAACTCCTTTTCGTCAGTGGGAGGAACATATAAAGTTATGGAGCACGCTGAGCCTTGCCCCTCTTCCCCCCTGAAGGGTCTCTGTGGATGGATGAAAAACACACTAGTCGAAGTGCCAGGGTGTTCTCTGTTCTTCCGAGTCCTGGTCCCACAGCTTCTCATTCCTCTCACGCTGCTTCACCACTATTCCTACTAAGGGAAGAGGACCACATGGAGAAAGAGACATCTGAGATCCACAGCCTGGCCGAGCCACTGAACAGGGAAGGCCGGAGATTTAAGGCCACATGCAGCGCCCAGCTTTCCAGCCTGGAGTGAATGGGAACCAGTGTCCAGGCCTTAAGTCCTGGGCCTTCTCCAGGAAAACCCGCTGGCATTTGGGTATTTCACTCACATAAAACCAAGCAAACTTCATTTGAACTATTAAAGGGGTGAATTTTTTAAAAGACATTAAATAAAAGCTGAATTCCAGTCATAAAATATACCCAAGCATTGGAGTTTGGTTTTTGTTTTTTTGTTTTTTTTTTAGCCTAGATCCAGTTTTTGAAAAGAAACAAAGACCAGGATTTCATGATCATTTTATCTGGTACTTTAATCATCTTTTGTAAAAAGTAGTGTAATTGCTTAGAATCATCTCATTTTACTTTATCAGTATCCTCATCTTTTCAAGGGTGATTTTACTGAGTTTTTTTTTTTTTAATTCAACTTTTTAAAAACATGAACATTTACTGAATATTGATTGAGTCTGTTGCTTCAGTAAATGTGGGCAGTGCAAAGTTGGGAAACACAGAGCTTTGTCCCAGAAAATAGAACTCGATGATAATAGTAAGAGTCCCTTTTGAACTTCATCAACAGGCTCCAGACCCCTGACATGGTTTCTTGCATCCCATCCATTCTCCAAATGGACTCACTGAGAACCCAGGAGGTTAGGACTCCTGTTCTCGGCCCCATTTCAGCACAACCCAACTGTCTGCCGCCTGGCCTGGCACCTCTGCCATCTGCTGGCATCCATCACTGCTCTGGTCATCAGAGTCTCCAGGTCCCTCCATGTTCGGCAGCTAGGATGCCAGGGAGTGTGTGGCCCTCAGGACCAGAGGCAAGCTTTCCAGAAAGCCTGCAGGCAGGAGGGCCTCTAGAGCTGGGGAAGTCAGCCTGCTTCTCTCTGCTCCCAAGGGAAGTTGGAGTTGTGGGCCCTCATCTTGGCCCTAATAGAAACCAAGTCCTCTTGGTTTCTCTCTGGGCTCCAGAGGGTGAATTCCTACCCAGGGAGCTGCCCTCTGCCTCCTTGGGAGCACAGGAAACTGACCTCAGGGAAAGGGACATGAGCACCCTGACGTACTTTCCCACCATCTCTCCCACTCCAGACTTTTCCTACGTGGCAGGATGGTGTCTCCAGGGAAGATGTCCCCTCAATGTCAAATCCCAACTGTGAGCAGGTCTGGACCAGGCTCTAGCTTGCGTGCCCATTCCTTGCTCAACAGCAGTGATATTTGAGTCTGGGGTCCCTGTAGGGACCCACGTTGGCACACAGGCCCTGTACTCCGAGGCCCCACTTGGTTTCCTGTTGTGCTGGCGCCATCTTGAAATTCCTAATAAACTTGCACCAGGGGCCTCCCATCCTCACCCTGCACTAGGCCCTGCAAATTAGCAGCTGGTCCTGGTCAACGTTCATTCAATATTTCAGTCTCCACAAGAACACCCAGATTTCTCATATACAGACATGCAGTCTCAGCCCCTCACTGTCTGCCTGACTCCCCTGCCAGCTCCCAGCTCGTCAGTGCTCTGGTGAATGCACTTCACAGCACCAGGCATTGTGTGTGATCAACAACTTTTTCTCTAACTAAATGTTACATTTATGCTGTTGCTGTTCAGTCACTGTCACGTCTGACGCTACGGCCGCATGGACTGCACACGCCAGGCTCCCCTGTCCTTCACCATCTCCCAGGGTTAGCTCAAATTCACGTCCATTGAGTCAGTGATGTTATCTAACCATCTCCTCTTCTGTCTCCCCCTTCTCCCCCTGCCTTCAGTCTTTCCATCATCAGGGACTTTTCCAATAAGTCAGCTCTTTGCATCAAGTGACCAAAGTATTGGAGCGTCTGCTTCAGCATCAGTCTTTCCAGCGAATATTCAGGGTTGATTTCCTTTAGGATTGACTGGTTTGATCTCCTTGCAGTCCAAGGGACTTAAGAGTCTTCTCCAGCACCACAGTTTGAAAGCATAAATTCTTCAGTGCTCGCCTCCTTTATGGCCCAGCTCTCACACAGGATATGGCCGAGGAAGCTGCCATGAGCATAGGTGGAAACTGAGAGGGTCTCCGTTCACAGCCAAGGAAACCCGGGGATCCCCATCTTGGGGAAGGGGCTGCCATGCCCAGGCCTCCTGTGGGCAGGACACAGAAACCCAGGCACTCAGAGGATTATGGGGCAGAAGAATGACTCCGTAGGACATCACAATGGTGGATACTAGCCTTCCCTGGTGGCTCAGATGGTAAAGATTCCACCGGCAATGCAGGTGACCTGGGTTTGACTCCTGGGTCAGGAAAATCCCCTGGAGAAGGGACTGGCAACACTCTTCAGTATTCCTGTCTGGATAATTCCATGGGCAGAGGAGCCTGGCAGACTACAGTCCCTAGGTTCACAAAGAGTCAGACACGACTGAGCAACTCTTTCATGGTGGACACAGGTCATCACATATGTGTCCAAACCCATAGAATGCATGACACAGAATGAGCCCTGATGTGAACTGTGTACCTGGGAGAATTCATGTCCACGTAGGTTTTCCTGTAACAAAGCTACCACTCCGAAGGGGATGCTGATGATGGGGGAGGCTGGATGGGCGCAGGGGTATTTGAACTTTCTGCTCTATTTTGCTGTGAACCTGAAACTGCTCTAAAATGATAAAGCCTGTGGAAAGCACTGCTGGAGTCTGACCTTCTGCTGCTGCATCTGAGCTGGCTGTCCATAGCCCCCACCTCTCTACAGACCTGTGGCCCCACTCACAGGTCTGGCCTCCCCCCTGAAGCTCCTGCTCATCTTGTAGATGCTACACTGGGATTGCCTCCTGGATTCTCTTAGAGGCTCAGCCAGGCTCAAGGAGGTGATACAGGGTCTCACCACCAAATCTCAGCATAAGCCCCCTCCCTGCTGGGTTAACTTCCTCGCCGTGATCTTCATGAGTGGTTTGTGATGAAACAACCCATGGCTGTTCTGTCCTCACTCAGGACCTTGATCAAGGCACTCAGTCTCCAGGGCCTCTGTCTCCTCCTTTGTAAAGTGAGGATCGCAACCCCTCATTCATGGCTGGACGAGGGGCTCAAAGCTAAGGCAGAAGGTGAAACGCCTGGTGTCAGTACCTGGAATCAGTGTCCCTTGCAATGAGTATATGTGGAGAGCTGGTCACAGCCAGCCAGGAGGTCGGGGACACAGAGGAGCAGGTCTCCAGAGACCTAGCCAGTTCCGTCTTCCCTGTAGCCATAACTCTGTGTATCAAGTTCTCAGATACCTGGAAACTTCCCATTATTCATTCATTCCTTTGTCTTTAATATGCCTGTCATCTTATCTATTTCAATTGAAACAAGTTGGAAAAGAAAACGATAGGGACGGAAAACAAATCTGTAGTTGCCAGGGGCTGAAGGTAAGAAATGCGAAGGGTAAGGGGAAATATTTTAATGCGATGGGATTGCTCCAGATCTTGATTGTGGTCATGGCTACACAACTGCAAGCATTTGTCAAAAGTTGCAGAACTAGGTACTAAAAAGGGTGAAATTTACTACATGTAAATTTAAATATTTTTTGAACAGAGTATGGTTGAACAAGAACAAAACCTCACAATTACAGAGACATTAAACCGATGGTGGTAGAAGCCGGAATAGCAGTTATTTGTGGGAGTGGGGAGGTGGCGTTGACCTGGAAAACACAAGGAGGAACTGTCTGGAATTGTGGAGGAGCCTGATCACTGGATGAGGGTGGTGGGGCTGTGCATGTGTGTCATTGTGAAAACTCACTGAGCTGAACCGTCACATCAGTGTGGATGTGATACACCACAATAGAAAAGTCAAAGGGATAATAATTTCTTCTAAAAAATAACTTTTAATTTCAAATGTCTCCCCTAGTCAGACTTGCCAGCTTTTATTCCTGCTCCCAAATGCCCTTCCCACCTTTATCTGGAAGGAAAGAAGCAAATTCACCTCTCTCCACCTTCCTGACAATCCCACCTACGGGACATTAAACTGTGGCATTAGACTGGGGTGACGTTCAGAGTATTTAACGAATGGCTCAGGGCCATGTGTCAATCAGAAAACTACAGAACCAGCCATCCAGCTGTCCCTGGACACAGCCATGCACTGGGCTGGTACAAACCAGACTGTTAAATCACACACGCAGTGGCACCAGGGGCCCTGGGTGTCTCTGCAGCCCCTTCCTGCCCCGGCCATGGACCGACTTTCAGAGCTAAAGGGAATGACCAGCCATGGCCCTGCTAGCTGGTCCTCTGTCAACTGAGCGCCTGTGGGTTCCCGCCTGCCTACTTTCTCTGGGAAGAGCTCCCAGTCCTTCCTAAGGCTCGCACAGCCTTGTAACAGCATCACAGAAACAATTATTCATACACAGACCTTGCTGATTCCATTGGCCATCCTCGAGGCCATACCTGGATGGCTAGTGACATCTTGCAACAACTCACTTCCTCTTACTCCGGTGTAGACGCCAGGTTGCTATTACTCCACCTGCCGAGGCTTAATAGGAGGAGAGGGACCCTCCCCATCCAAATTTCTTCATGGGGGGCAGGGAGATCACCCAGGTCACCCATCCTGACATCTCGGCCCCAGACTCTCTGGCCGGCTCGCCTCTGTCCACCCCTGGGTGTGTGAACACCACGTGAACCTTGCACAGCCCAGCTGCTCTGAGCCACAGTGATCCAGTTTACACATCTTCTGTGGACCCTGGCAGCTGCCCAAGCATGCAGGTCAGTGACGCTGAAGCCTGTGGCACCCAGCCAAGTGGCAGCTCTGCTCTCTGATGGCCACTGGCAGGGACACGTGGCAGCCACCGCCATCTGGCAGGATTGGGGGAGATGGGTCGGGAGGAGAAGGTAGAGAAACAGGAAAAGAGGGATTACCTTGTTGAAACCTTTGGTGACCAAGTTGATCGCCAGCTCATGGCTGATCCCATCCACGCAGGCAACATCCTTTTCTCCGATGGGTTCAGAGAGGAAAGCTCTCAGCCTGCGAGACATGTGGTCCACGTGCTATAAGAGCAGTGGGGGCAGGGGCATTAGGAGGCTGGGGAACACCCTCAGACTTCCGAGGGCAGGGGGCTGGGGCCAGTGATGGTGGGCATCCTCCCATCATCCAGCGTTTACTGGAAATTTTTAGATGCCGGGGCAATGCCCTGCTCACAAGCCTTTCCATACCGATCACTACATGCATGGACTAAGAGAGGGGTATCAGTGGCTTCAGATGAGCCTAGTAACTCCCCATGAAAAGGGTGGGCTGGATGCTAAGCAGGGGTCCCCAATCTGTTTGGCACCAGGGACCAGTCTCATTTAAGACAATTTTTCCATGGAGTGGGGGAGGAAGGGGGATGTTTTCGGGATGATTCAAGGGCATTACATTTATTGTGTACTTTATTTCTATTATTATTACATCACCTCAACCTCAGATCATCAGGCATTAGATCTTGGAGGTCGGGGACCCCTGATGCTAAGAACTCTGCTGGGTTCCTTTCCAACCTTCCCACCCTAAATGCTTGAAGGAACAGCTTGCTTCTCTGAGCTAATTAATCTATGTTCTCCAACATTTTTTTCATATTTTTATTTTAGCCTTTACCACACTCTATAATAGCTGGTTGTTTGGTTGCAAGGAACAGAAAACTCTAACTGGCTCAAATATTAAAAGAGACATTATATAAGTCAGAAGCCCAAGAGTGAGATTGGGTCTGGTACAATCAGGATTGTGAATCCATTTCTCTCAGGTTTCCAACTTGGTTTCAGTTGGGGTTGGTTCCCCTTGTGGTGGTGAAATGGCTGCACTGGCACTCAGATTCTCACCTTCCCCACCAACATCTCTGCTCAAAAAGAAGAAGTTTCAAAAGAGAGGGGACGTGTTTTTTAGGAGTTCCGAGCAAGCTTCATCCAGCTGTACTCACCGTCCTAGATCTGGGGGTGGAGTCAGCTTTCCCTAAGCTGGATGAGCTGTGAGTTCAAGTATAGCTCCCTGCACAAAATCAGGATTATTATGGATAGAGGGGCAGGTGGTGTGAAGTCTGTAACCATAATGTCCCATATGATCCACTCCTTTGACAAACTAATGTTGGTACCCTCACTTTCCCTTACATAAGCATCAGAAATAACCACACTTGGGTATTAAATAGACTTACCCCCTCCCTCAAAGGGTGAAACCCCCTGATTCATTCAGTTACTGGATTAAGATTCAAGTTCATATTTTCTGGGAGATGCATCAGACTCCCCATCATGTCTGGGAGTATCTACTCACAGGATGGTAACCTATAAACTAAGTTCTGAAGTTCACGGTCATCAACCTAGTCAGCAATGTTGGGGAAAACCATGCTATCTGCACCAAAGATTTCTTGGGGAGAATTCTCTGTTTGGAGAAGGAGAAGACAGGAAACACACTCCACTGCCACTGGTCAATAGCACCTATGATACTGGAGGTTCATAGGAGGTTGCTTGCCCTGACAGTAAAGGCAGGTCCTCCATGGGACAAGATGGCAGCCCCAGTTTTGGATATTGGTGGATCTCCCGTGTCTACTGCCTGGTTAACATCCTAGTGGGCTAGGGGTCGATGCCTCCCAAGGAGAGCCACTGCTATAGCACTCTGCTTCTGTGGGCGCGAGCTCAGAGATTGGCCCGAGGGACAGGCCATCTGAGGCCATGAGTTGGCCACTTCCTTTGGCATCTCAGCTCCCTTCATTAACTGGGTTTCTTCTATCCAAAGCCATGGCTGGTGGTTGAGGTGGAGGTCTTGACAGGTCTGTATCCTTGCTCTGTGCCTTGCCTGCTGTCCTGCTCCTCAGACTCGTGGCATCTGACCACATCTCTGAGGTGGGGAGGCATCCCATGTTTCCTCCTCACCCCACTGCATCCCAGGGGGCATCTTCACAGGAAGGTAAGTGCCCCATTTATCAAGCGTGACCTTCTTCAGACAAGATTGCTCAGGAGAGACTTGGGAATGGGTGGCAATGTCCTTCTGGGCCCCCTATTCTTTCTCTTGCTGAGTCACCTGACTTGTGTCTCATGTTCTAACTTTAGTCGATTTCATCACCTTTCCCAACCCAGCAGGATGTGCTAGGTCACAGGTAGAAAGCCCCTCTCCCAGCAAAACTGCATTTTCATCTCTCTGCATTTTCCAGTGGGCCACCTTCCCCTGAATGTGAGCCTCCTGGGGTCTCAGCGAGGATGCAGAGGTAGCCAGCATCCTGAGTACCCCATCAGATCTCCAGGGGTCAGGTCTCCATACAGGGTGAAGCGGGCCCACCAGAACCTGTTGCTCTGCTCCACGAGGGTCGCTGTCCTTCTCATTTGAGGGCAGAGAGACACAGGATTTCTGAGCGGGAGGAGGAGCCCGAGAGTACAGGCCGGGTCAGCCACTTTGCCCAGGGAAAATTCCACTCCCTGTCTGCACTGGCCATCTGTTAAGTTAAACATCTCTGCCTATTTAAAGAATACACGGAAAGTGCAACATTGTTATCAGAGCTCCGCAGCATCAAAGAACCAGTGAGGAGCAGCACCTGCCTGTTTGCTTTTCTCCCACACCTGATTCCACTTTGATCCTCAAGACACTGGCACATAGGTGGCGATTTTTACCCTCCCTAGGCTCACTGAGAAAACGTCCTTGCATTTGTTAGGGAGCCTTTGTCTGCTACAGGGGTTCTCAACTGGGGGTGAATTGTCTCCTCGCCCAACACTTGGCAGTGTGTCTGTAAACAAACTGTCACAGCTGAGGGGGGAAACACCACTGGAGTCTGATGGTAGAGGTCAAGGTTGCTGCCACATACGCTGTAACGCTTGCAGTAGCCTGTCCACAACAAAGGATCATCCAGCCCCAAACGTCCACAGCGTCAAGGCTGAGGAATCCTGAGCTACAAGGAGCAGAGAACCCTGACTCAAACGGTCTTAAACAATAAGTGCATTTCTCATAACCAAGAAACCCACGGTGAGGTGGACCCAGGCTTTGTTTCTCAAGGACTAGGCTAGCTTGCCCCAAAGATCCCAGGATGCCCACAAAACTTGCTTGGGCTCCATCCTGACATGAGAGAATCCAAAGGAAGGAGGGGCCATGTCTGCATAGACGTCCGTAGCACCTCTGCAGTGGAACTTCCCTTCCCTTCCTGTTGTTGGCCAGAACCAGACCACGTCAGCCCTGAACCAGTCACTGACCAAGGGAGGCGGACCACAAGAGGGGGATGAGGTCAGCCTCCAGAGCATGAGGCCCCTTGGAGAACGCTGGGTTCTCCAGGAAGTAGAGAGGGAGGAAGTGGGACCCAGGTAGACGAATGACCTTATCAGCTCCATATTCTAAAGCCTGGACTAATAGTCACACCAACTAAGGTGCACACCAACCACATGGGGGATCTTGTTGAGAATTGCAGGTTTGGCTGCAGCAGGTCTGGGGTGGACATGAGATGCTCTATCTCTAACTGGTTCCTGGAAGATGTTGATACAGGGGCCCACACATCACACTGAGCAGCAAGGCATGACGTGATGCCACTTATTCTTTTCATGTTATTTTATGTTTAATTGTGGCAAAATACGCAAAGCATAAAATTTACAATCTCAACCATTTTTAAGGGTACAGTTCAGTAGCGTTAAGTACGTTTATGTTGTTGTGTGGCTAAGTCTCTTATCTTGCCAAACTGAAATTCTGTTTTGGGGGGGGCTCTGTTCAAGTTTTATTTCATGTGCCCATTGATGGGCACTTGGGATGTTTCTGCCTTTTGGCTATTGTGAATAATGCTGCTATGAATAGGGGTATACAAGCATCTCCTCAAGACCCTGCTTTAGTTCTTTTGGGTATGTCCCCAGAAGTGGGATTTTTGGATCCCAAGGTAATTTTATGTCTAATATTTTGAACAACCATCATATTGTCTCCCATATTGGCTATACCAATAGCATTTATTCTTAAACTTGACAGCACATTAGATCGGATTGGGAAATTGACACATTACTGATGCTTGGGTCCCTCCTTCTGTGTTTGATTTAATTAGCATGAAGATTATCCTGAATGGTGGAATTTTTAAAAATTCCCCAAGTGATTTCAGATGCTGCAAAGTTTGAGAACCACTGCTACCTTGTCATTGGCTTCTTTCTCTTAAAATTATAAGCAGGTTTTCCAGGAGGATGGGGTTCCAGCTAAGAGGCTTTGCCAAGGTCTCTGAATATCTGTATTGATAGATGGCCTAAGAGCGATGACATGAAGGCAGTATCTACACCCCGCTCCAACCACCAGACGTCGTATCCTCATTAGCCATCAACAGGAAGATTTAACTGTGATCCTGACAGCTTTGAAGGGCTTCCCCAGTGGCTCAAATGGTAAAGAATCACGTGCAATGTAGAAGACCCGGGTTTGATCCCTGGGTCGGGACAATCCCCTAGAGACAGGGGATGGCTACCCACTCTGGCATTCTTGCCTGGAGAATTCCATGGACAGAGGAGTCTGGCAGCTACAGTCCATGGGATCACAAAGAGTCAGATATGACTGAGTGACCTTTCACTGACAGCTTTGAAGTCAGAGAATTCCAGAGCAAGCAGATCTCAATAATGGTCTATCCCCCCTTTTTCAAACTTAAAAAAAAGAAGGGATCTTTACTTCAAAGGAAATTTTTCCTGGAATCCTTTTCATATAAAATAGATCAAGGCAGAATCACTCTGCTGACTCAGGAACGAACCGGGAACACCAATACCTGCCCCAAACACGGAGCCAACACGGAGCCACGGCCTAGTCCCCTGGGGCTGCCCCCCCGGTCCCTCTCTTGTCCAGCCTAAGCCCCTCATCTCACTCATGAGAACACAGAGGCCCCAGAATGCATGCAGCCAGCCGAGACCACGCATCCAGCAGAGCGCGGCCGGCTCTGGTCCCCAGAAGAGCACCCCCTTCTAGTCAGTGGTATTTCTGGGTGGTGGGGAAGAGTTGGGGGGAGGTCGGGAGTGGAGGCTGCAGTAGGGTCTGATTAAGAGCTAGACGGTCATGTGACAAAACCACTGCAAATGCCTTAATAAAACCCCATCCCATGAAAGACTCCTGTGTTACAAGGTGTTCTTTCCAGCGACTTCATTTTAAATCTCAAAGTATTTGGGGAGGACACGTGGCAGGAACAGGCTTCCCTGGTGGCTCAGTGGTAAAGAACCTGTGTGCCAAGAAGGAGACTCGAGTTCAATCCCTGGATTGGGCATTTTCCCTGGAGAAGGAAATGGCAACCCTCTCCAGTATTCTGCCTAGGAAATCCCATCAACAGAGGAGCCTGGTGAGCTACAGTCCATAGGGTCGCACAAGAGTCAGACATGACTTAGCAACTAAACAAAACAACAACTAGAGAAGCTAGCATGGAATAAAACCTCCCCTCTTCATACTTCTCTTGTTTGCTTCTTTTACTCAATGCCTCCATTTTCTCTTTCTATGTTTATTTATTTATTTATTTATTTTTGGCCATGTGTCTTGCAGGATCTTAGTTCCCTAACCAGGGAGTGAACCTGTGCACCCTGCAGTGGAAACACAGAGTCTTAATCCCTGGACCACCAGGGAATTACCTCTACCTTCGTTTAAAAACTCAAATCCAAAGCTCTAACATTCTATGAAAAAGCTATGCAATGCCTGAAAGCTATGGAGAACATAAATAGTTCCTAAATTAAGCAGATTTATGGATAAATTCAGGATCCATCCCTAAATCCTCAAAACACAGCAGCCAATGAAACTAGTGATCACTTTGGCCACAGGGACTGGTTTATAGATGAGTGGATTCCCTAGCCGGAGCCAAGTCCAGGACTTCTTTTTGAATTGCTGGTAAAGAGGCTTCCTCTCTCTGCAAGGGTCACTCAGCTTGTCACACCAGAACTGCTGTAACCATCTCTGCCATCACCTGCTCCCAAGAACCTTCCCTTGACAGAGGATGACATATAGGAAAGTCAGATCTGAGATAAGGAGAGAGATTCCCCAGTAATCATTTGCAGGCCTGCATCTAGCCATGCCTAAAGGCAGGAGCTCCTCAAGTTTTTAACTACATCAGGCAATATTTTCCACTTTTGTTTAATTAGTTTAAGTTGAAATTGTGCTTTGTTAGCAAAGAATCCTAACTAAATTCACCCTCTGGTATTCATTCCTTCACTCACTCGTTCAACAAGCATTTGTGGTGCACTGGGCCTTCCCTGGTGGCTCAGATGGTAAGGTATCCGCCTGCAATGTAGGAGACCTGGGTTCCATCCCTGGGTTGGGAAGATCCCCTGGAGACAGGAATGGCTACCCACTTCAGTATTCTTATCTGGAGAATCCCACGGACAGAGGAGCCTGGCGGGCTATAGTCTATGGGATTGCAAAAGAGTTGGATACAACTGAGTGACTAGCACTCTCACATTTTCACTTTACTATGTGCTATGTACTACTATAGGCATGAAAGCATCTTCATTCTGCCCAGTCTTAGGGCAGTATCAGTCCCATGACTTGGGCATCAGGGATGGAAAGATTATTTTCAATGACCATTAATGCTCATCATTCAAAAATAATAGTGAGGAATTTTTCTGGTGGTCCAGTGGTTAAGACTTCACCTTCCAATGCAGGGGGTACAGGTTCGATCCCTGGTTGTGGAGCTAAGATCCCACATGCTTTGGGGCCCAAAAAAACAAAACAAACAACAGAAGCAATATTGTAACACAAGCAATGTTGTAACAGATTCAATAAAGATTTTAAAAAGGGTCCACGGTCAAAAACAAATCTTTAAAAAAAAAAGTAAAAAATGAAGGCAATATTTACCTTCCTCGCCCTTAGCTCCAATTCTACAATAGCAAACATCTTTGGTGGCTGTCTCACACATGAGCTTTTAATTATAGCTCTTTCTCTGGATGGGTCTACCCCTGATGCATACCCTAATAACCTCAATGATTTCGCAGGTCTTTACTGAGCACCCTCTGTTTGCAAGGCTCAGTGAGTTGTCTATGAACCCGTAGGACAAGTCCTTCTGTAGGTGCCTTCCCCAGAGGAAACTTGACTGGCCTGTCAGGAGGTGTAACAAGGTGAACTCAGCGATAAGGGAGGCTGTTCCCTGAGGCAAGAGGGCACCTCTTAAAGGAACTAGAAAGGAGGAGGAGGTTTGGCTCCATGGATTGCAGACCCCACTCCAAAGGCAATCTGAGTCTGAAGGCCATGGCTAGCCCCCTGCTGGGCATGCTGGTTGGGTGTCAGAGACTTACTTGAGTCTCAACCCAGCTCTGCCCATGACCAGCAGTGTGATCCTGGGCAAGAAACTTTCATTTCATATTTGTAAAATCAGAATGTTGGGTTTGCTGGAACTCACCATTCTGGTCCCATCCAACATGGCGTGTCTTTGTTTTACAGTCTGTGGATGGTACAGAATTCACACAGGTTTCCAATCCCTATTCTGCCATTTTCAAATCCCAAATCCAAAAAGCTCTGGAAACCAGATTTTTTTTTTGTTTTTTTTGAAACTTCTTGGCAGCAAAACCTAGTCTGAACTGACATGAGGCTATTTATAGTTTTATTATGCCACTTAGTGTGAATATTTATACATTTTGCCACAGGCATATTAATGGCTTTATTTACAGGGTACTGAGCCAGACTCCACTGAGAATGGTCTCAGACGCACAGAATAGGCACTGTATTGCTTTTCTAAAATCCAAAAAATAATCTGAATCCCCCCCAAAATTCCATCCCCAGCAGTTCTGAGAAAGGCTTTACAGACCGTGAGCTAAGATCACTGCCTGCAGCCCAGACCACCTGCGATGGTCCCCTGGAGAAGACATCTATCTCCCCGGCTCACCCAGACATCACCTGTCTTGTCCATGACTCTCAACCTCCTAACCCTCTTTCCCTAAAAATACTTGCCCCTTTGTCTGAAATCCTGTCTGCCAAACAGCCTTTGTCTGGGGGTGATTTTGGCTGGGACTGTTCCTGGCTACACTTTTCTTTCATGAAAATATTTCCTCTTCTTTGGGGGCCTGTTCTCTGCAAAGGATCCAACGGTGATCTAAAAAAAAAAAAAAAAAAAAAAATCACCTAAGGAATAGATGAGTATATTAGCTACCCTCCATGGACAAGACATCTGCCTTGTTACAGGCCCCTTTTTTCCTTTGCTTTTAATTTTCAATTATGGTAAAAAATATATATAAAGTAAAATTTACCATCCTAGCCAGTTTTCACAGAGAAGGCAATGGCAACCCACTCCAGTACTCTCGCCTGGAAAATCCCGTGGACGGAGGAGCCCGGTAGGCTGTAGTTCATGGAGTCGCTAAGAGTCGGACACAACTGAGCATCTTCACTTTCACTTTTCACTTTCATGCATTGGAGAAGGAAATGGCAACCCACTCCAGTGTTCTTGCCTGGAGAACCCCAGGGACAGGGGAGCCTGATGGGCTGCCGTCTATGGGATCACACAGAGTTAGACACGACTGAAGTGATTTAGCAGCAGCAGCCGCCGATTTTCAAGTATACAATTCTGTGGTGTTAAGTCTATTCACATTGTTGTGTGACCCACTCTCAAATCTTTTTCATATCCATTAAACAACAGCTCCTGGGCCCTGGCAACCACCATGTTAGTTTCTGTCTCTAAGAATGTGACTACTCTAAGGACCTCACAGAAGTGGAATCGAACAGTATTTGTGGCTGCCTTAATTCACTTAGCATAATGTCCTTACTGCCGACAGAGCTCTGTCTAGTCAAAGCTATGGCTTTTCCAGTAGTCATGTATGGATGTGAGAGCTGGACTATAAAGAAAGTTGAGGGCCAAAGAATTGTTGCTTTTGAGCTGTGGTGTTGGAGAAGACTCTTGAGAGTCCCTTGGACAGCAAGGAGATCAAACCAGTCAATCCTAAAGGAAATCAATCCTGAATATTCATTGGAAGGACTGATGCTGAAGCGGAAACTCCAATACTTTGGCCACCTGATGTGAAGAGCTTCCTCATTTGAAAAGACCCTGATGCTGGGAAAGATTGAAGGTAGGAGGAGAAGGGGACAACAGAGGATGAGATGGTTGGCATCACCGACTCGATGGACATGTGTTTGAGCAAGTTCTAGGAATTGGTAATAGACAGGGAGGCCTGGCATGCTGCAGTCCATGAGGTCAAAAAGAGTCAGACGCGACTGAGTGACTGAACTCAACTCAACTAATGTCCTTAAGTTCATCTATTTGGGTTTCCCAGGTGGCTCTAGTGGCAAAGAACCCACCTGCCAATGGAGACATAAGAGACTCGATACCTAGGTCAGAAAGATCCCCTGGAAGAGGGCCTGGCAACCCACTCCAGTATTCTTGCCTGGAGAATCCCATGGACAGAGGAGCCTGGTGGCCTACAGTCCATGGGGTCGCAAAGAGTTGGACATGACTAAAGTGACTTAGCAAGCATGAACACATGCTCTATCATGTGTAAGAATTTAATCATCATAATATTTCATTGTGTGCATGGACCACATTTTAGAATCATTCACCCGTTGATGGACTTTTGGCTTGTTTCTACCTTCAAGCCTTTGTGGATAATTCTGCTATGAACATGGGTGTCCTATAACAGACACATGGTTTTAACTTCTTAATTTACACCCCCTTATGGATAGAGCTTTCAGATTCCTCCTCTCACTGCCACTATAACCCCAGAGAGGAGGGGACAGCAGTGCTGTCTTGGAGGGAGCTTCCCCAGATGGAAGAAAATTCTAGAAAGAGGAAAAAGAGAGCTCACCCCATTACCCACCAAAGGAAACAGGATGTTTGAGAAGCAGGTAATAAGGGACAAAATTCTCAAAGTGGGCAGACACATTGGATTCCAGAGGGAAAGTTCTGACTTCGGCCGGGCCCTGGTGATACTGCATGAGACCCAGTGTCCTGCTTCCCTGGGCTTCCCAGGAGATGATGAGAACAGGCCACTCCCAGGGGCCGGAGCAGGGGTACAGCAGCCAAGAGCAAGGGCTGGGTAGGTGAGTCTGAGCACCAGGCAGAAGATCCCATAGGGCTGATGGGCCAGCCAAAGCCTGGCATCAGGATGAAGCAGTCCCAGGATCAGGGACCTAACAACAGGAGCAAATGGCCAAGCCATAGTCTACATCACTGGGTGTCACTGTCCCTAGAAGACCAGAAGGGGCAGGTCATCCCTGCAGACCTCAGGGGTCAGGCCATCATCCTGCACATACCACGAGATATCAAACCCGCAAGTGTTGTCCCAGCCCCACAGCCCAGAACTCCTTAGGGAGGCTAGAGAGGTGGAGAGAAGTCGTAAGAAGACTGTCTCCGAAAAGAGACCCTTTAAATCGGCCTGGACAGTGGACTGCTCACACTGAAGGGACACAGCCTGAACTTGACCAGAGAATACGCCTTAGGGGCAGTTGGCGCCAGGCCCAGATCCCCTGGACCAACCCAACTGCTAAAAGTGCTGCCTCCAACACTCAGCGCGGACTCTCCCGGGGTTATCTGCCCGCAGAGGATGTACCACACCCAGAGACGCCTGGGAGGCTGAGAGCAGCAGCGACCCTGAGTCTGAGTACAAAGCCCGGTGCCCTCGTCCTGGGGCGGGGCCAGCTTCTTGGCATGACTCCCACTCCTGGGCTCTTGCCAGATCAGCCTCCCAGCCCTGCTCACTCCTCCCCCTCCTGCTTCCCTCCTCCCCCGGGCCAGGTGCACCTGCATCCTGGTCTTAGGTCGGCTTCCCGGAACTGTCCTCTAGCCTATGTTTGCCTGGATCCCAGTGCGGAAGAACAAAGTGCATTTTCTTTGAACATCTAGGTGCAGTGGAGCGCGTTTGTGACCACAGTTCAGTTCAATCGCTCAGTCGTGTCCAACTCTTTGTGACCCCATGGACTGCAGCATGCCAGGCACACGACAATACGGTCACGGTGACCCAGTTGAGGGGTTCACCGGCCCTGGGGTGAGGCTCCTGAAGACAGAGACGCTGTCAGGAGGCCAATGACCCTTCTCCACCCACCTCGGACTACAGGGCTGACTGGATGGTTGCTGGGCTGATCTCAAACTCAAAACATCGGTGAGGGTTTGTGCCCCCATGATGATGGTGGCCAGGTTTAGGAAACAAAGACACAAGGTGCCCAGTTTAAATTTCAAATAAACAAATAACTTCTTAGTATAAGCCTCACCCAAAAATTTCACAAGGTATACTTATTCTAAAGAACTTATTTGTAGTTTATCTGAAAGTCAGATTCTACCGGGGCCTCCCACATGTCTCCGAGCCACCCTCTCCCCACCTCTGACTCCACCGAAACCCCTCCATCCACCCACACTCTGGCCCCTCAGCTGCCCAGTGAGCTGCAGAGTCAAGAATTCTACCGGTTGAGATTTCACTCCTGGTTTGGCCTCCCTCAGGCCAGCATTCTGCCTCCCTCTCTGCATCTGAAAGCCACAGACCATGGAGCTGGAGGGGAAACCAGCTGATAATACATGGCTGGGGAGATAATTGTGGTTGAGCACACAGATGACCCATCACTTAGAAGTCGCCTCGGAGGCAAACACGAGTCTGGATTTAGCGGGTCCTTCTCGTCTGGAGAGATCGTTAGTGCCAGCCGGGCTCCCCCTGGGGCGGGAACAGAAAGTCCGCAGTGGGCAAGTGAGGAACACGGAACCCAGGGACTCACGTTTGCTGGGCACCTGATGCCTCTTCATGGTCATGGTCACACTAAAGCCTCAGAATTAACCTGGCAGCACTAGAGAACTGTTCCCCTTCTGAGCGATGGGGAAACTGAGGCCCAGAGAGGCAAAGAGGGTCACGGAGTCAGGGAAAGGCCAGGATAGGATGTGAGCTGAGGTCTGCTGCTCCAGGATCGGAATTCGAGGAATCAGAACCAAGAAGGCAATTTTCTCAGAGTAAGTCCCTGCCCCACCCACATCCCCTGGGGGCTCGAAGCTTCTACCGCAGGGACCTACAGGTAGATAAACACCCAATTCCTTCCCCACCAACCCCAAACCCCCCAACCCCCGCAGGTGGACAGCCCCAGGCAGCCACCTGCTCTGAACGCAGCTCCACCTTCCATGGGCTTCCGAGGTGGCACTAGCTGTAAAGAATCCATCTGCCAATGCAGGAGACGCAAGAGACGCGGGTTCAATCCCTAGGTCGAGAAGATCCCCTAGAGTGGGAAAAGGCCGCTCACTCCAGTTTTCTTGCCTGAAAACTTCTATGGACAGAGGAGCCTGGCGGGCTACAGTCCATGGGGCCACAGAGAGTCGGACACGGCTGAACAAGCATACAAGCCTCCCACCCTCCCTTCCCCGGCGCCTCTGCCCCCATCCCCCATCCCTGTATCTCCTCCCAAATGGCTTCTTGCATTTAAGTGAGATTCAGTGACTGCTAACTAACAGCTGGCTTCCTGTGTTTGAAACTCTTCTCCTATATCATCTCATTTAATCTCCTCATCGGGGTGCAAAGGTAGGGTCTACAATGATCCCCTTTTATAGATAAGAATGCATGAACTGGCCCTGGGCACCGAGAGGCCTCAAAGTCGCATATGCTCAAGCTAACGTCTGGTTCCCAAACACTGAGTCATCAAGAAAGGCTTCTGCTTCATTCCTGGACAGTCACTCTCTCCCTTTCAACTCTGGACTGAATTCCTCTGCTTGGGTGCAGATAGATACCAGTGAGGTCTGCAGCTGTCCGCCATGGTACAGGAGGGAAGCAGTGATGTGCTGCATTGGGAGTGGTATATTCAGTCCATTCTAAGACACACAAAGCCCGTATGTGTGTGTCTTCCACTTGCCATTTGGCAAGATTCCTAGATTTTAGTTCAGGTTCTGGTCCAAGACTCCTCTTTATCCCTTAGCTCACATGTGTGCTCCTGCCTATGTCTGGTCCTC